AAAAAAATAAATAAATAAATTCCGTACGGAATCGCCGATTCATTGTTCGGACTCGCCGATTCCGTACAGTGAATCGGCGATTCACTGTACAGAATCGTCCGGTTCTCTCTAGAACCGGACGATTTCCGATTTTTTGGGCGATCCGGTCCCCTTTTCACGATTTCCGAGTCGAACCGGGCGAGTCCGGTTCGACTCGACGTTTTTTAAAACGCTGCTATTACCTATTATCATTCACAATTCGAATATCATATTTTCGCATACATTTGTGTTCAAGCCTGCATTTCGACCGCCTATAGTATTAAAATTTTTATAGGAGTATTGTATAAAAATTAGTTATAAAATTAATACCAATAAATACTCAGACAAGTGTCTCAATATTGACGTTTTTTTGTAAAATAATGAAACACTACGCTCATTTTCTTTTGAAAACCGAAAAAATTATAATAATTTTTAATATTTTAAAAATGTTTTTATGGCCATATAGGATCAATCCACCAATCCAGTCTATAGATATGTTGATCCATACCAATTTTTGGGATGGGCTATCTGGGTCACCACTCTTTTTAAAACATTGAAAAATAATGATTTCGAGCTCAAAAAGTACTCCAAATCAATTCAACTTTGAAGATCGACTTTCAGCTATCCATTTTATGGACAAGTGAATCGAAAGTCTTTGAGAGCTCAAAATTAAATGGAAAGAGTTTATTTAAGGTTGCCACCTTAAAATGTAGAATTAAATATGCACTTCAAAATTCCATCGCAAAATGTTGTTTTAATATTGAAAAGCCCTCTAATAGATCATTCGACATTGAGATGTATAAATATGAAAAAATATATATATATTTAGAGTTTTAAAAATAGTGCAATTTTGCGACACATTATCTAAACCGTCTATTTTCAAGATTTTCATATGTTTATAGATATGCTTGATTTTAACTATTTTTTAAATTAAAAAATCTATAATTAGATATAAAAATAGATTATGAGATAATCTAAAGAATTTTTTACGCCAAGCTAGATATATCCTTAAGGTTTGGGGCAATTTTGCTATTTCTTTGGGGTTCAAGCCCTAATGAGCATCTCTTTCTAAATGGGAAAAGTTAATAAACGTGTCAACCTTATACTGTAATAATAAAGTACACCCAAAAAATCCACTAGAAAATACATTTTCAATGTTGGAAAACCCTACAACAATCTTGACCGAGATATGAAATTTAAAGTCTTAAAAAATATCGTGTCTTGTAATATATTATTTAGACTATTTATTTTAAAAAATGTAAGTTTTTGTAGATAAGCTCGATCTACACCATTTTAAGATTTTTAAACTTATAATTGGGGATGAAAATAAATATTTAGGATGTAAGGATTTCAAGCATCAGAGCTACATCTTTAAGCAAGATTTAGAGGCACACCTTACTCTAATTGTTTAAGATCGACATCGTTGTTTGTGGGAGTTTGGGTCGTGGTGGTAGTACCACTATACTTAATTACCATGTTGTGGTTTTTAATCCCAACACTACCCATTGATACCTTCAAAAAAAGCTAACTCATCTATATGAAAAAATAGGTAGGGGCTCGTCTTCTCTACTGAATTACTTAAAAAAAAAAAAGATGTGTTGGTAGTAGAGACAATTAAAAATAGGATAGTATGTTCTCTCAGTAGCTGGGTTATACATTAGTGAATATTGGAGTTTGTCTCGTATAATATCAATGTTAATATTCATGAGGTTATCAAGATGAGATCAATTAAGCAACTACGTATGTTCATGTGGAAGACTTATAAATGTTGGTATCCTAAATTTAATTTTGATGGAAGCTCTCTAGACAATCTAGATATAACAGGCTATGATGGTTTGATTAGAGATTACGGGAGAGCATGCTCCTAGTCTATTCGGGTCGGCATGATCTAGTCTCAGCTAATAAGGCAAAAATGATGGCAGTATTGGAGGTTTTGAAAATTGTTAGAGAGAGAGGAATGGGTAGTGTGATAGTTGTTGAAGTAGATTCCTTGAATACCATCAAGTGTTGTTGTCTCCTCGGTGTTTGACATCCAATTGGTTCCAAAATTTGGATAATTCAGAGATGGTAAGAGGCTTTTTTTTTAACATATATTCAGGGTGGTGAATGGGGGACTAGATGAACGAGCAAAACAAGGTGCTCAATGTAGGGAAGTATTGATGAAACGATTCTAATTTGGTAAACCATTTCTTTGCTTTTCATAATATTTTAGTCTCTTGTTCATGAATGAATTACATGAAATTTTGTCCAACAAAAAAAAAGAAACAAAGAAAACAAAAGGTTGACACCTATGTTACACAGACACGTATGCCCGTGTCCATTTTTGATACATATACAAGTGTTAGAAGTGTGGACAACAAAAAATAACATTAAGATACGGCACTTTTGTATATATATATATATATATATCTATATATATATATATATAAACGATGCTACGGTATTCCGATTCGTGTATTGCTACAGTAAATGCCGAACGGCCCAGATCGAATCTGGGTTGATCTGACGATCACAGATGTCTGATAGTGTTTCATTTTTTTTATTTTTTTACAAATCATAATGATTTTAAATTTGGAATATGTGTTCATAAAAAATAGTCGAATCTACGAAAAATATCAAAAAAATAGTTTACATATAAATTGACCAAAATACCCTTGAAATGTTTCAGGGGTATTTTGGTCAATATTTTTTTCACGAATTATTTTTTTTTATATTTTTATTAGGTGCGTCTCACTAAGATATACACATTATCCAAATTTTAGATCATTTCGATTTGTAGAAAAATAAAATAAAATTCAAACACTCTCGAATAATTGTGACTATCAGATCGGCCCAGATTTGATTTGGGCCATTAGGCGTTTACTGTAGTGGTATGCACATGGGCGTATAAGAACTTTTTCCATATATGGAAGATACTACAAAATGCCTATAGGCGAAAATGAACAGTGATTTCGTCAACCCTCATCACCGTTCAAAGATCATGGTACGGTCTTGATTGTCCGGTAGCGTTTTATTTTTCATTTTTTTTTCTATAAATCAGAATGACCTGAAATTTGAAGCATGTATTCATAAAAAATAGGCAAATCTATGAAAAATACCCAAAAAAATTTTACATGAAAAATTGACCAAAATTTGTAGTCATTTTGTTTTATGCAAATTATTTTTTTTATATTTTTATTATGTGCACATCACTAAGATGTACACACGCTCCAAATTTCAAGTCATTCTAATTTATATAAAAATAAATGAAAAATGAAACACTACCAAACAATTGTGACCATGAGATGAACTTTGGACGGTGATGAGGATAGGAGAAATCACTGTTCATTTTCACATATAAGCGTTGGGAAGAC